TACACTGAGAATTACAGAACAAAATATGTTCTGTAAGATTTGCACAAATCAGAATTGTTAAATTAGTTATGTTTGAACCTTCTTTCTTTACTAAACCTTCTTTGAAAATAGTTTTCAAGAACCAATAGTCGTTTTTTGAATCATTTTACTCACTAGAATACTTTTTTCAAATAGTAGCGCATTTCATTCACTACAAACAACGAATAAAGTAGAGACTGCAGTAGTTTGTTGACTGTAGCGCATTGACTCAGATCACTGTGTATGCAGTGTAAATATCCTGTAAAAAAATTTTACACTGTACAGCTTTATACACTATAAATAATTCCGGATAACATTTCGGTAAAAAAGTAACAAGCACCCTGAGTGCCAGAACTTTTTTAGTATTACATTTTACGGAACAAAAACCTGATGTAGCGTAATTTTTGCAATAATATCTGCTATAAGATTACTGAATGATTGCAGTGAAATAAATTTTCCTGCAAAAATTACGATATAAAATTTTACGGTAAAAATTGATTTTTACGGTAAGATGGATTTTACGGATGCTGCACTCCGGGTGCCGTACTTTTTATCATAATTTTATTCGCAATTTTTTGCATGGACTACATTAAATTAAAGATTTACCGAGAAAAAAACGATATTTGTACTTAAAAGGCTGTTACCAAATAATATGAACCATCATGTAGTAGCCATGCATCACGAAACATCATATTTTTCGCTTTAAAATCCTTATGTTTCTTTTTTGCGCTTTTTAATATATCTCGATGAACTGAAAGCGTAAATTAGTAGCCGTTCATAAGTGATAAGTGTCACATCCCAAATTTTACTGAAAATTAAATCGTTTAAAATCAGCAAATTAAAATTTTTTTCAAACAAATAAATGTACATTTGACAATTATTACTGTTATACTTACAAACTTAAATAAAATAGTTAGATTTTTTTTTTAAAAATGGAAGATAATTTATAACGTAGAGTTTTGTTTCTGATGTGCAAATATATGTTTATATACTTACATTAGCGGGAAAGGGATAAGAAAGTAAGTAAGTGACAAGTAAGGGAAGTGTGACATTTGTGACAAAAGGGAAGAAAAAGGTCAAACATATTGTGACATCATTTCTGAACTGTAACTTAAGAAATTTTCACATTGTGTTTCGTTTAATTTCAATTTCATAATATTTATTGACAATATTACCAGTTTTGTAAGGCATTTAGGTAGTATCTTGTTTCTATTTAGTGATGGTGTTATATTTTGGTATACTAATATAGATGATTCCTGGTTCTTGGACAAAATGTGACATTTGTTATTAACGCAAAAAAGAAAAAAAATAATTGATACAAAATTTTATAAAAAAATTTTGCTTCCGCAATTTTTCGTGGCATAGCACTTTTTTTTAATAAACAGTAAAATTAATTTAATAACAAATTAATTCATTAAAAATATTTTTCCTTTACTCAGATAGTGTAAACAAAAATTAAATGTCAAAATAAAGCAGAAATATTTGTTATTTTCTTATATTAAAATATTATTTTTCTCCAACTATGTTTAATATTTTAATTAGAAATAATAATTTTACGTTATTCTTAATTTAAACAATCATATTTTTGTTTTATATTTCTTAACATTATTTATTAATTACGAGGTACTAACTATTACTAACTAAATTTATAGCATTGTAAATTAATTAATACTCAAGAAATTTTTAAAATAATTATCATAAATTTAAACTCCCTACTTTGAAATAACTTAGTTATCTTCGTTTAGTTACTTTTTATTATAACATGTTTAATTTTAGGGCAAATATTTTTATTCAATATTTTCAGATAATTATTGTTAAAAATAAGGGAAAAATATGTTAAATTCAATTTATTTCTCTGTCATATAATTACAATTTTACGAATTAAACTATCTGAAACTCATTATTGCAAATACAAAAATAAAATTCAAAATACATAAAATTGAAATAAAAGATTAAAAATGTAACTGATAATTCATAATATTTATTCTACTTATATTTATTATATTTATTCATAATATTTATTATAGCTTGTTCAAACTCCAACTATGTATATAAAAAAAATGCTTCATTGATAATTTAAAATATTGTCCTTTCTTTGATTCAATAGATGGAGCCACGTTTTTCTATTAAGTTTCAAAATTTTTTGGCATATTAATATCATTAATGAGCCAAAACTTATACATCGAGCTGAACAGAAATAGAAAGCCAAAAGCGTTGTATCTAGAAAAGTTGTAAACAAATAACGGAGTGTCTATTGCACCGATTATCGGCGCAGTAAAATTCATTTTGCTATCTTACCGATCAAATTTTTAACCAATCATAGAGCGTATCTGTCCACGTGACTCTCCGATTTTTTTTTTCAAAAATAATTTAGCTTTGTTTATCGTAGTCAAGGCAGCTACAATTTTTGTAGCATCTTGATTTTCTTAATATGAAGAATAACAAATAGCCATTCATGAATTTGAAAAAGAAAAAAGGACGATCTTCTGGAAGAGAGAAGCGTAAACTTTACAAAATGCTTCAAAGAAATTTAAAAAATTTGATAAGGCTCCACTGGAATTGAAATACACATGGTGGAAGAATTCATTAAAAAAAATGTACAGATAACANTAAAAACTAAGGCACTAAATAATGACTGTCACGTTTTTTTATAGTGTTAGGGCAGGACAAACTGATGCGGTTACGTGACATGTTCCATAATAAAATTTGGCTTTTATGTGTATATGTATTCCTTTACGAATACAATGAATATTAAAAATTAATACGAATTTCTTTTTCAAAACAATTTCAGTAAATAAAATAGCATTGCTTTATATATTTTTCTTTTTTCAAGTTAAAAAAATTGTGATGACATACTGCTTTTTTTTTCTAGCATTAAATAATTTTTCCACAAACCAATCATAGCATTAATTCGTAGGTTTGCCACTTCCTCTACTTTTGGAAACTTGAAGTTTCTTGTGTCGCGTGAATTTATTCATTATTTTTGCAGTTAACTTCAACTACTTTATTGCAAATGTAGTTAACTGCAACTACTACTATTTATTTCAAAATATAGTGCCTGCAAACTAATTTCGAAATGTAGTCACGATTTAACTACTTAAAAAAGGTGGATTTTGCTGAAGATATTGAATTTACACTCATACTCAAAATTTTAAAAAATTAAAGATATTAAAAATTCGTAAAAATTGTTCAGAAAAATAATATGTTTATTTTACCATGGGAAATTATTAAGAAATATCTAATCCTTGTTTATGTAAGCCTATTTATTTTTCTAAACCTTTTTTGCGAATTTTTTTTTTTTTCAATATTGACTTTTTATGTCATATTCTGTTTTTCTTGACTGGTAATAAATTCAAGAAGTGCTAAAAAATAAAAAAACATTTGCGATTTTTTTTTAAGTCTCTAAAACTCAATCTTTAATTTCCTCGAGAATATAATATACACCAAGAATTACTAAAAATAGTTATGTTTGAACCTTCTTTCTTTACTAAACCTTTGTTAAAAATAGTTTTCAGTAACTGATAGTCGTTTTTTGTCTCGTTTTACTCAACTACACTACTTTTTTTTAAATAGTAGCGCATTTCATTCACTACAAACAACGAAAAAAAGTAGAGACTGCAGTAGTTTCGTTAATTGTAGCGCATTGACTTATTGTATACAGTGCGCAGTGCGTAGCGCATTGTATACAGTGTAAATATACTGTAAAAAATTTTTACACTCTACAGCTTTATACACTATAAAAAATTCCAGATAACATTCAAGTAAAAAAGCAACATGCACCCTGAGTGCCAGAACTTTTTTTCTATTACATTTCACTGAACAAAAATCTGATTTACCACAATTTTTGCAGTAATATCTACTGTCAAATGGCCGAATGATTGTAATTAAATAAATATTCCTGTAAAAATTACGATATAAAATTTAACAGTAAAAATTGATTTTTACAGTAAGATGGATATTTGTACTTAAAAGGCTGTTACCAAATAATATGAACCATCATGTAGCAGTCATGAGTCACGAAACATCATAGTTTTCGCTTTAAAATCTTTATGTTTATTTTTTGCGTATTTTAATGTATCTCGATGAACTGAATGCGTAAATAATAGGCAGTTCATAAATGATAAGTGTCACATCCCAAAGTTTACTGAAAATTAAAGTGTTTAAAATCAGCAAATTAAAAAAGTTTTCAAACAAGTAAAGGCACACATTTGACAATTATTACTATTATACTCACAAACTTCAATAAAATACTTAGTTAAATTTTTTTTAAAAATGGAAAATAATTTATAAAGTAGAGTTTTGTTTCTGATGTGTGCAAATGTATGTTTATGTACTACATTAGCGGGAAAGGGACAAGAAAGTAAGTATAAAAAAGTATAAGTAAGTATAAGTACAAGTGACAAGTAAGGGAAGTGTGACATTTGTGACAGAAGGGAAGAAAAAGGTCAAACGTATTGTGACATCATTTCTGAACTGTAATTTAGAAATTTTTACATTGCGTTTCGTTTAATTTTAATTTCATAATATTTATTGATAATATTACCAGTTTTGTAACGCATTTAAGTAGTATCTTGCTTCGATTTTAGTGAAGGTGTTATATTATGGTATACTATATCGATGGTTCCTGGTTCTTGGACAAAATGTGACATTTGTTATTAACACAAAATAGGAAAAAAATTGATACAAAATTTTATAACAAAACTTTGTTTCCGCAATTTTTGATGGCATAAAATTTTTTTTTAATAAACAATAAAATTAATTTAATAACAAATTAATTAATTAAATATTTTTTTCCTTTACTTAGATATGATAAACAAAAATTAAATAAAATAAAGCTGAAATATTTGTTATTTTCTTATATTAAAATAATATTTTTCTCAAACTATATTTAATATTTTCATTAAAAAAAATTTGCAAACAATTTAATTAAAAATAATTTAAATTTTACATTATTCTTAATTTAAATAATTATTANTCACATACACAGGTAGAAAAGCATAACTTATAGCTATTGTACCGATGAATTAGTTTCTGTAAAGTGGCGCTGTTGTCAACGTCGGCGCGATAGCTCTGAGGCTATCTTACCGATAGTCGGTGTAATAGACACTGCCAACAAATAAATAGTGGTTGTCAATATTCCATCTTTTTAAAAAGTAAAGAATTAATTATAATCAATAAGATGTCAAGCATTGTAAAGTCTATAAAAATTACTGAAAATAAGAAGCGTAAAGTTATCGAAGGACATGGAAATGGTAATCAATCACTTTTGTTGTGTGGGCTTAATTATATATAATGCATGCTGCCTGAGATTGAATATTAATTTTTAAAATTCAGAATATCTTTCTCTAGAACGTGTGTATAAATTAACTATCATAATCGCTTCTCTATTAAGTTGCATCATTTGAAAATATTTCATTTTTATTCAGTTATTATTAAAGTATTGTTATAATATTTTATGCCTGATAGAATAAAAAAGAAAAAAAAATGCCTCCTAGTACCATGTAAAATGTATTAGTACTCTAACTAAGCGAGTGCATGTGGTTGTTTAGTTGATAAAAAAAATTCAAGTAATATTGTTAAACATAATTGTGTAATATTTGTGTAGAACAAAAACAATTTATTGCTTTTTTTTGTATATTTTAGTATTATGCATGGAAAGATTTCTGTATTGTGATCTAAGACAGAATAATTGGCAATTTCTGGGTAGTGACCCATGAGAAATTTTTTACAAAAAACATTAGAAAAACGGACAAACTCATAGGGGGAAGAATTCCATATCGTGATCTATTGTAAAATATTCGCCAAGTCTTGGTAACTTCTGGGCAACGGCCTGTGAGAAACTAAAAAAAAACATCACAGAAAGGGACTAACTCCAAAGGTATAAGTCATAGCCACTTCTTGGCAGACATCTACATATTTTTTTTTATTTTTAATTTGCATGTTTGAAATCTATTTAGCTCCTTTGTGATTAAAGTTCGCAGGACATATTACGATACTTAACATAGATAATATATCAACATTTTCTTAGTTTAAAATAAATTTGGCGATTGTAGTTAATGTGGCAGATTATGATACGGGAGCATCTCCTTATGCACGAGTGTCTTGATGAATATGTAATTATGTATGTTATAAGTAAATTATGTATGTTATAAGTAAATTATGTATATAATATATGTAAGCATATTTTCAAGTTGTAAAATTATATATTCAAATGGAAAAATCCCTATTCAGCCTTATCAAGAGAAAAATGTTTAGGAAATAATTTCACACTTCTAAAAAATTTTAGAGTGTGAATTTTTAAAATTGAGAAGCTAACTTTAAAACAGAGATTATGTTTTCAAACTGTGTATTGCCACTTTGCAGCATGATTATATTACAACTAACACATAAATTGTATAAAGTAAATATACTAGAAATGTTTCCCGAATATTTGACCAAAAAATATTTCATTTAGCTATCAATTTTTTTACACTATTTACAGGTTAAACAGGCTTATGTTCCTAAACAAAATTTATTATAAAAATATATGGAATTTAAATTTCTCGTGAATTTTTTTTATTTGTTTCGACCATTTCGCAGTATATTTAAAATTTATGTCACAATTGACATCTTTGGTGGCATAAAAAAGGCATTCTTCACAAAACAATCTAGAAAGGTCATCCAATTGCTACAAACCTGACTTCTTAAATTTTATTCCGAGTTGCAAAATCTCTTTTAAAAGCAGCTGTTCTGCTGTTATAGACAGAAATAGAGCAATAGCAATTTATTTCCTAAATTCAGAATACATGAAGGAAGACCTTGTCACACTCTCTATCCTCACTGGCAAAACTTTTGTGGGATTGTCTTTATTCAACAGTTGGAGAAAAAAAACTAGCAAATTTTTAAAAAAATTTATCGTATTTTTCACAGCGAGTTAAATTTTTTAGGGGTAGCACTCAAATCCATTGTGTGAAATACACATCTAGATGTGTAATGGTGAACTTTGCCCTAGCTTATGAATATGTAAGATTAATTTACTGTATATCCTTACTGTGTATCGACCCTATATTTTTGATTACGTAATCATAAATTACTTATATTTATAAAAGTAGTATATATTTTTCGTGTAAGTCGTCTGTGAAAAAATTTAGAAATAAAAATTTTTTAAATTAAAAAGGAATTCATAAATCTACAAAATTTTACATTATCAAGTGATTTAAGAACATTCATGATTTGGAATCTTTAAATTTATAACTTCAGGTATGTTTTAAAAATTTTCATTTTTTGACAAAGTCACAATTTTTAAAATACTTTTGAATAAATTAACTTTTCTTATTCCCATTTTTTTTTCTGAATGTGATTTAAAATATTGTTTCTAAAAAGAAGCCTTTGCATATCAAAAAAAATATCATGTGAGAAAATGCAAAGTATTTATATAACATACTATAAATAGTTTTTGAAAGTGATATAGGTTACAGAGTCATCTTATTTAATCTCTGTGTTTATAATGCATAGATATTTCATCATCAATGAATGTCCGACTTTATACTAATGTATAACTTGGTTCTCTGTTTTTCATAAAATGTTGAGGGTTTTAAAAGTGAACTTATACACTGGGATATATGATATTTATTTATTTTTAGTTAATTATTTTTTCTAATTTAATTAGCTTTGCTATTTGCATGAGATTTTTTTTGCTGAATAATGCTATTTGGTACTTATACATTTTTGGAACATATTATGGGTAATAGGTATATGGGTAATAGGTAATATGGGTAATAGGTATAGTCCCCTAAAGTGGATATGAACAAGAAATTTGAGTTTTTCCCTCTTGTTAGCAAAATTAAGCAAATTGTAAACCTTAAAATGTTTACATAAATGTATAAATAGCCCTTAAGAATAAGATGTCTTGTCTTTCCAACCATGTTTTTAATGTTTCCATGGTGAAGTTTGATTAACATAAATATTTTTCCATAGGTGCAAAAAAACGTCAAGACATAGGAGATACTCTTACTATAGTTCCTGTAATAGAAGAGAAATACATTGAAACAGTTATAACAGGTGAATTTTCTTTGTTTTGTTTTAAATTTTAATTGAATAAGTTATTCATGAAATTTTATCACGTAAATTCTTGTAACTAATTGATAAAATGTGGAATTTTCAATTCANTTTTTGTGTATTTTTATTACAGTGTCGGGTTTTTGAATAATGTTTTATTAAGGAAATGGTATTTATTTAAAGAGTATCTACCTAATATAGTTTTGTGTTGCTAAATCTGTGTTTAATTATTTTATTTCCATTTAATATTTTTAAACAATTATTGCTCTATTAGTGTGTAAAATTTCTTGCATTCTTATATTTAATAAATTTTTTACTTAAAATTCCTTAGAAGTGCCAAATGTTGCATACCATGCACCTTTTTTTACCCCTCCTGAAATCTCCTGAATTCTTGTTAGTAAAACTCCTGAATGTTAATTTTGCTAGGTTGGCACGTCTGCTGTTACAAATGCTGTTTTAAAAATGATGTAAAACTATAATAATTAGCATGTTGTCTAAATGTTATTTTTCTTTCCAGAAAAAATGTTTATTGGAAAAATTATATCAAAAAAAGAAACGTCCCGCCTTGTAAAGTAAGTGATATTAATTTTGTTATCATAAAATATCATAATTTTTTTTAAAGTAAATTTTAACTTTTGTATATTTTTCCCCCTACAGAGAGTTGAGTGATGCTTTTCCTTTGGAAGAAAAATCCCATTTAAAGAGAGTCAAATGGACTGATGAAAAAGGTATATGTTTGTATATTTTTAAATAGTTTTAGACTTTACAGTACATTTCTCTACATTAAATAAGTGCTTTTAATTACATTTCTAATCTATCTATATATTGAAAGTTTTAATCAAACTTGTCAATCGTTTATTTGGAGATTTGCTTATTATTCATTTCAAATTTAGTTAAAGATAGAGTTCTCACCAGCAATGAAAATTTATTGGTCCAAACTTAATATATGGTAAACTAACTTGGGGGAAAAAATCAAACTTCACAATTAGATCATACATTTTATGGTATACATCAAAAATTATTTATTGCCATCTATAGGATCCTAAAACTAATTGGGATCATTATCTATATAATGATTAAATATTAGGATTTGTTAAAATTAAATGGAAAAGGGTAAACTAATATGAATAAATATACTCAACATAGAGATTAAAATGTCAAGACCAGACAAGTAAATAAATGAAGAAAACAAAGAAAGAAAAACCTACGAAATATATTAAAAATTGTAAAATTTTAAATGAAGCCAATTCTAAAAGAGCAAAAAATATTATTTTATTTATAAACAATTCTACAATTGTCAACAATTCTTGAATTGTCAATTATCAGTACATGAATACAAAGCACAGCACAACATTTAAAGTTGAAAGTTTAACATTGAAATTTAAAAATTTTTGTACCAGACACTTTCAGTTATTCCGATCCAATACCACGCTTAAATACAATAAAATTAGTGCAACAGATTTTGTTTTAAATGCATCAAACTCAATGCGATTACTATTTTGTAAATTCGAAACATATGCGACAAATTTGTCGTCCTCGTTTATGATTTTAGCGACATTTGTAGAACATTTGGTGACAATGGTCACCATGTTGCCTTACTGGCATGAACTCTAGCTATAGATTTTGTTTTGAAAATAAAAAAATTTATTGTAGCATCAGGGTTCCTATACAGTCAGGAAAACCTGCAAAAGTCAGGATTTTTCTTACATATTCATAAAGTTAGGAAGATAAAAAAAAACTATAGTTCATTCAAAGACTGACAGGCAAAAATAAAGTTTCAAGGAAAAATTCTGTAATTCAAGGTATGTAATTTCCTCATAATAACATTCCTCTTTCCCTGGTAGAACCTGTGCTGTTAGCAATTTTCCTCCTGTTTATCCAATGATAAGGAATTTTTGATAGGGTTGCTATTATTATTGCTCTTTGTGTGAATAACTGGTTTACAGAATAGTAGCTGAAACAACAGCTGAAAAATCAAAAAAGGAATTTTTACTGTTTTGTGATGCTGCCAAAAAAAAAGAAGAGCAAAAGAGTTTCTTAGAGTTTAATCCACAGCAAAAGAGATTAGATAATTTTTTTCGAAATACTTTCATGGAGAAAAAAAATGTGAAAATTTGTGGGAAGTTATAAAAATTGTTCTTATCCTCTCTCATGGTAACACAACAGTCGAAGGGGGTTTTCAATCAATAAAAGCTTATTGGTTGAAAACCTCAATGAAGACTCTATTATTTCACAAAGGCGTAAGTATGATTATGTTTCATTTATAAATAGAATAAAAAACATAGACATTAATGAAAAAATGCTAGATGCTGTAAAAGGATCTAGAACAAGATGGAGACATGCATTAAAAACCAAAAAAAAGTAAAAGAATAAAAAAAGCTGAAATTTCTAGAAAACGAATAAAAGAAGAGATAGATGATTTGAAATTAAGAAAATCTAAATTGGCGAAAACTGCTGCAACAGAACTGGATGTTCTTGATTCAGAAATTGTCAAAGAACAAAATATGTTGAGAAATATTATATAACATAGGAGCCTCTGAGTTTCTCCGGAAGCTTACAGTATTACAGAAATAAATTTAAAAATACTGAAAAAAAAGATATTTTNCTTTATTATCATGAATAAGCTATATCCATACCAAATTTCATTTATTTATATTCAGTATTTTTTAGATATTTAGGAAAATATCTTCCATCTCTTAGTTTTGTCCACCAGTGTAATTTAAAACATCTTATAATAAATTAAACTAATCAAAAGGCATATCAAACAGTACCTTGTCAAAGCCTGATATTTCCTGAACTAGGCCCAAGAAAAATTAGAAATATAACACCTCCATGCACTATTATTTATCAATATTTGTTGGACATAAAAAAATAATTTTATCACCATTGGCATTTCAGCACACAAATTTAATTCATTATAAACACAACATTAAAAATCTCAATGCCTGTAAAAATTTTGATTATAATCACAATTTCTTAAAAAGTATAATTTAAATATTTGATTAAATATAATCTTTTTTTTAATAAAAAATACGCGTAAAGTTTTTTTTTTTTTTAATTTTTAGAAATTTTACCCTGTTTTTGAGAAAGGGTGAGAAATTCTCTCCCCTTTTTTTCTGTAATGAAAACACTGTTTTATGGTATACATCAAAAATTATTTATTGCCTTCTATAAGATCCTAAAACTAATTAGGTTCATTATCTATATAATGATTAAATATTAGGATTTGTTAAAATTAAGTGGAAAAGGGTAAAATAATATGAATAAATAGACTCAACATAGAGATTAAAATGCTGAGACCAGATAAATAAATAGATGAGGAAAGTAAAAACTAACAAAATATATTTTAAATGAAGTCAATTCTAAAAGAGCAAAAAATATTATTTCATTTATAAACAATTTCTATTGTCAGTACATGAATGCAAAGCACAGCATAACATTTAAAGTTGAAATTTTGACATTGAAATTTAAAAATTTTTGTACCAGACACTTTCAGTTATTCCAACCAATACCACGCTTAAATACTATAAAATTAGTACAACAGATTTTGTTTTAAATGCAACAAACTCAATGCGACAAATTTGTCGTCCTTGTTTATGATTTTAGCGACATTTGTAGAACATTTGGTGACAATGGTCACCATGTCGCCTTACTGGCATGAAATCTAGCTATAGATTTTCTTTTTAAAATTAAAAATTTTATTGTAGCTTTGAACCAAAGAATATCAAAAGATTCAATCATGTTGTTAAATTGGTAGTCTATAAGCATTTTACCATTTATTTTCTAGTTAAAAATAAATAGATAAAACTGAAGTACTTATGTATCATTAAAATATGCTTTAAGGTATAGCAACAAAAAACTTATATTTTACGTGTTTAAGAAAACATTTTTTAGGAATTCTCAATGTAATATTAAAGTATAAGCAATTAGGTGATGCAGCTCATACAGAATCAAGTTATAATTTTAAAAAAATTGAAATAAAAGTTATGATAATCAATGGAAATAGTATTAATTTTTTTTTAATTAATTTTTTTATGAGGTAACTCTGATTTGTTATATACAGCTGTATTTAATTTCAGATTTTCCATTTAATCACTATAAAAATTTTATTTTATGTTACTAAATATGATGTTTATTATTGATCAGAGCATTTATGCATTCTAATATTGTTATTTGATTAAAAATGTATTTTATTATGCTGCTGTAAAATTTCATGTATAATTGTGTAAAAAATTTTATGTTTAAAACAATATATTTTATGTCATAAATATCAAACTTTTATTTTATTCAGCATATTGAAATTCAAATATTACTTTTATTTATTTAAAAATAAGCATTGCCCGCTTTTAGTTTTAATTTATTATACTGATTTATATTTTATAACCAGCGGTGAACAGCCTACTTAATTTTGGGTTTACGACTACAAATGTTCTACTCCGTAGCCTTGTAATTTCGAACCTAATCCAGAAAACAAGGGAACTTCTGGATCAAGTATTAGGAGAAATTTTGTCTTCGTGAAGAACTTTTTGATAAAACTTACCTGCATTTGCTTTGCATGTAGTGGTAAACCATGAAAATCTCCCATGGTTAGCCTGACCGCAAAGGGACTCTTGTAGAATCTGATAAAATTATTAATCACTAGATGGCGCCTTATAATGAGAATGTAATTCAAAGCCAGTAGATGTCGTCTTATAATGTAAATGTAATAGATTGATTTAAGAATTCAATGAAGGCAGGTGTAAGCCAAATGTACCAAAATACATTTTTGTTATTGTTTTAATTGAGAGCTCATCTTTGAATTATACACTTGTACCCATGATCCATCTACCACTATTTTTACATCAGCACTATGGTTGATGCAAGCTGGGTGCGGAATTCATATTGAGCAACCATCGCTGGGATTCGAACCCAGTTCACTTCATTGGAAAGCGAGCACTCTGTTCCCTGAGTCACCACAGCTCACTGATTTATATTAAAATTTATTAAGCGTCATATATAATAAAATATTCTCTATTTATTCATATTTTTTAGATATATTTGAAATTATTATTCGACCATTGCTACCAAATGAGCCTGTTGAAGGTGTTCTGTCTTTTTCTCTTAAATATGTTCTCGGAGAGTCCCACGTAAACACGAATGGTTTATCAGATACAGTGATTGTACGTGATATACCTAAAACACCAGCTTGGACCTATAGTCAATTTAAAGAAGCAGTAAAATTCTGGCCTGTACAGTTTAGAGAAAATAAATAGTGAGTATTAGATGGTTTCAGTAAATCAAATTTCAAAAATTGTTTGATTTTCTTACATTGCTTGTCTATTTTAAATTAATTTAGTCATCTTTTTGTCATAAAACAATTTTTACTTTAAAAATTTTTGTTTATTATAGAAGTTTAATTTAATTGTAATAACTAAAAGAAAATGCATTTTTCTTTTAATAAAGAAAGAAACATTTTAAGTCTATTATTATTTTTATTATATTCATTTCTCAATTTTGTTAAATACACAATTAGTTTTATTATTTATGTATAACCCTTTTACTATTTTTGTTAATTATCAAATGTTTGGCTGTCCTTTTAAATGAATTTGCAAGTATTTTGTTGTATATTTGCTATATTTATTTTTTTTCTCTGTAGAAAAATGTATTTTATTCTTTTTTTTTATCCCTGATTTAGTATTGAAAGAGCATTGAAGGATCAATTATTCTCTAGTGAAGAAAGATCTAATATACAGATGTATATGGAGATGTGTCTTAGAGTAGGGAAGAATGGTGATGTATGATTTTCCAAACATGTAAATTTTAATCAATTGAAGAGCTAAGAGGAAGGTGAGTCTAAGTGATATTTTAATAAGTTAAGGATTTGGTTTGGCTGTTAACATTACACTGGAGCTACACTAAAGGGTTTTTGGTGACAATTTAGAATTCATCCTTTATGATGATTCGGACTGTCAGCAGTAGTGAAAATTTAGTGGTTACAGGACTACCTAGGTAGTCATTTATTGGTCCAAAAACTTAATATAGAAAAGACAAACTTGAGAAAAACATCTAACTTTACAATTACATAATTTATGTTATGGTTAATTATGAATTACCATTAAAGTTATGAATTGCCATTTATAACACCCTAAAATTAATTTAGTTCGTTGCCTCATAAATGTTAAAGATTATTATATATTAAAATTATGTGAAAAAATGCTAAAATGATATTAGTAAATAGATTCAACATCAAGGTTAAAATGCTGAGACTAAATAAATAAATGAGGAAAACAGATAAAGTAAGAACAGATAAAATTTTGGAATAATATACATTGAAATGCAAATAAGGGGACCATGCTATATTGGCATAGTTAGATAACACAGGCGCACGCCATGTGCGGATACATTCGATGCGATTCTCCTATTTTGCAGATACTTTTTAATATTTATCGTGATATTAAAAACAATGTTTGCAGGGGGATAAAATAATGATGATGTATTCATAATTTATGCAAGGTAGAAGACGGTCAAAGTCTAGTTGTATGCTTGCTGTTCATGAAAAGAAAAAGAAAACTACCACTTTAACCCAAAGATTTCGACCCCATCGTTAGTAGATGAGCAAACAGTCAGCCAGTCTTTTTTACAACTCGACAATAGCTTTACAATGAAAATAAACAATTGCAGTGACAGTTAGGAATCTCTTAATGTGATTTCGTTTGTTAAAAGTAAAATGTTGTAGCCCAAATTTGACACAAAAAGTTAAAGGTGAATTTCGTGGTGAATAATTACGGAAGCAAAATTATTAATATTACTTAATATGATAATAATTACTTTATATGAATGCAGTTCTTAAATTTCATTTTTATGTATAACTATTTATATTAATCTTCCACTAATGTTCTTAATGTTAATATGCATGTAGCTATATAAATATGTATTTATTTGGTTGGGAATAAATAAAGATGTTAAGTAGTTAAAATAAATAAAAATGTTAAGTTGTTAACTGTTTTTGTAATGCAAAAAATTATTCAGTAATAAAAATATATGAACTTGCAGATACTTTATTTTTTTATCTTCCTTTGTATAATGGGCACATAAAAATTCCCTTGAAAGCTAAAATTTAAATGCTTGCAAATTTAATTATATTTTTTTAAATACCTAAATCCAATCTGAAACTTACATGGGAAATATTTAGTAATGAAGAAAAACTTACCTTATTTTTAATGAGAAAAATATCTGTCATTTTTGTTTGTTTACCATTTTTATATCTTAAAATATGTAATGATTTTTTTAACAATTCCAAGACATTTACTTCTATCTTTTGTTCATCCTGTTCTTTGAAGAAAGTTTTCAGTCTCTGCAGCATAACTACTGCTTCATTAAATGATGATGAAGGATCTGAAGATTCAGTTATTGAAATTGCCTCTGACTCACAAGTCATCAGATTATTATTACATTGTAAATACTCCATAAAGTCCCTATCAGTATTCTTCTTAAACGGAACTAGTGTAAAACTACTTTTTTTGAAACCAACATTTCATTTACAAACAATACAGTCTTTAGAAACTTTTCCAGGCAGACGATATTAAGATTAAAGCTTCTAGCATGTTTATTTTTAAATTATTAACTAATAGTTGGGTTAAAGATGGCTTGAAACGTAGGGAAATAGAGGACACTCTAAGTACTGTTTTTTTTTTTTTTACATTATTGACATAGAAAATGTTAGGACACCACGCTAAAAAAGTTAAAAGCGGAAAATCATTATTTGTAGTTGATGTTAAATCAGAGTTCTACTGTATCTAGAAAATATACCAATAATAAGAATCTATTTAACAAACTCATTTTCTTATTAGAAACCATCCTATTTAATGAGCAAGAAGGAGAAAAAATTTAGTTTTATTCATATGCACAACTGGCAACGATTTGTTTTTAAAATTCAAATGTCACTTGGAATCTTCCTCTAAGCTCCTTCACTATATTATTTTTGCTTTTTTTTTTTTAAGTTTATTATTGCTATTTATATTTATACTTATAAATTTTTTGTTTTTTACCTTGTAAGATTTTTTTTGTTTGTTTTCACCCATTATCCTAAATCTTTGAAAATGAATTCCAGCATTTAGTATAAATTCCAGAACTTATTAAAAATGTACAATCAAAGGTAAATACTAAATTAATATTTGCGATTCATACAATACGTTAATGATATCCTTATTCTTCAAATAAAATAAAAAAGTTAGTTTAAGGAAACTCATTATTGTAACCTTATTGGCTGTTAGATCTCAATTTTTCAAATTAAGTAATAATTGATCTTTTTTTTTTTTTTTAAGCAGGAAACAAAATGTAACAACTTTTTCAACAAATTTTTTTTTTAACAAACATTAAATTGTATGTATTTATTTCTTTTCATTCATTTTTTTTTATTATTATTTGATAGTTGAAAAAACTTCTAATATCTCTTTTATCATAGTTTTTTAATTTCTCAAGTTGAAGATTTTTTTTCTCTTTTTGCAATGTGTAGTTCAGTTAAGCAAAAACTATTGACAAGAAGATTATTATTTTTCAAAGTTGCATATTCTTACGTTTCATGATGAGTATTGCATCTCACTATGCTTAAATTTTAAATAAGTTTTTAAATTTAACTCTTAATCCAGATGATAAAAAGTATCCCAACTTGCTTTTTTTTAATTCAAATTAGTTCTTAAGTTATTAAATCAATTAAGTTAAATATTTCAATTTCCAGCTTTATACTAATAATTTATTTATATAGTTCTAAAAATTTAACAGAAGATTCATATTTTTCTATCTTTTGGAAGGTTATGTGGCTGAAGAGTCTGATGTCATTTTAAAATAATCTTTCAATTATTTTAATTATTCCACTGGATGTTAATGTTTTTCCAAGCTGTAGAGATTTAGTGTTCAATTATTGTATCTTTAATTCAATTAAAATTCTTGTCAAAGTGACATGTATATGTAATATTAAACTAGTCTCTTCCATTCTATTGTGGCTTTGGAATTTAAAAGTTTTGGCTCGATGGTGCCAACTAGTGTTTACAAAATTACACAACTTTATTTTAACTAAAATAAATGTCTAACCTAAAATTTGGTCTGCAATAATAATGAAACAAATGTTTGCTTTTTTAGGAAAATGTTGGATGTGTAATTGTTGATCCTGTTAATTCAAATGTTGTAGCTGTTTCACACGATTGTAGACATCAACACCCTCTTCAACACGCAGTAATGGTTGCTATTGAATTAGTTGCAAAAGGACAAGGTGGAGTTGAATCTTGGAACATAAACAGTAAGTTTTTTTTCCTTCCAACTTTACTTCTACTGTTACTCAGTATTTTTTGCCTACTTTTTATGTTAAAACTCCATTCCGACATAAGTGTTATTTTACATGTACATCCACCAGTTGTAAGCACAGCCCTTAAATTCAGCTGGCTGAAGAATCCTGCTGTTAATATAAAGATTTTGTCTTTGATCCTCCCTTGGGCCAGTGTTAACAATTGTGCTCGTGTTCTGTAACTTTTCACAGTGTTTGTTATTGCTGATTATCTATGCAATATTTTATTGATTACTTAAATCATTAGTATCAATAATTGTGTTGATAACATTTATATTACCTTTTCTCTCCAGTTAGATGCAATATAAATACATCTGTCCTCAAACAAAATTATAAAGATGAGAAAATATTAAGAAAAAATTCGGCACAAATTTTATTTTAAAGTCTCAACAAAACCTGAGATTTAAAAAAAAAGCATAAAGTGAAATAAATTTTTTAAAAAAAACTTTTCTATAATACTACTTGAAAAAGGAAGAAAGAAAATATTAGTAGTTACTTATAAGAGTTAAGTTAGTACAGTCTCAGTTAATTTTCAAAATTTTACATTCATTTTATATAATGTTTACCTTAATGTTTTTCAAGAAAGCAAATGAGAAATCTGCAGTTTCGAATAACATAAAACAAATTACTGTCTTTTGCTGTAGTTTTTCTGCTTTAAATCAAAGCACCTTAAACAGTTGCAGCATTCCTTGTGATCTTGAAATATAGAAAGAAATTAAGTTTGGTTCCTTTTTCTGCTTTGTTTCAAATTTCGGACTTTTTAAAAAAAAAAAAAAAAAATTATGCTGATCACTTCTATTAACTTCACACACTAAAGAGAAAAATCTATGTCCATTTAGAAGGAGAATCAATTATTCTGCCTCAAGAGAAGGAAACAGGAATAAAAGTAAGAAACATATGAAGTTCTTGAATGTTTTACCCCTGCTATAAACTTAACTCATAAATGAATTAATATTTTTTTTTTATTAAAAAAAGGGGTAAAGGATTACAATCTTGCTGTTGTAAAGGGGTTATCTATATGTCTGTCATTGTCATTCTCACTTTAAATAGGAGAGAATATTTAGCTCTTGATATCAATAAGGGTATTAGGGTTCTGCTTTTAATATTTATAACATTTTTTGATAAACAATAATTTTTGGTGAAGGTACCTAAAAGTAGGTAATTGGAAATCACCTTTAAAAGAAAAACTAAACAAAATAAAAATGCATTACTCAGTTATTGCATAATAGCAATATCATTCAGACCAGGAGTAAAAATTTACTGAATAATATATGTTTTAATTATAATGTGATGATAATGAGGTGGAAAGCATAGTATTAAAATTATTACTTTCCAAAATACAAGAAAAAAGGAATTTTTTTTTTCTAATTTAAAAATAAATTCTCAGTTGTGAAATAAATTTTAATTTGTGCTGTGTCTTTATGGCTTATGATAATTAGAAAAATTGTTTCCCTCATCATTTCAAAGTTTTATTTAAAGAATTCCTTGCATTGCTTATTTTATTTCTGTGGCTACATGACGAATTGCAAATTTGCATTATCATGTATTTTGTTTAAAAAAATTAAGAGTTTTTCATACTTTTGCTAAAGAGGTCATCTTCTACGTAAATTAATTTTTTCTTTCTTTATTTTATTATTATTATTTTTTTTTTTTTTAAACGAAGAAGGCTAAGTAAGAATCTGCCTACTCATCAAAGAAGTTCAATTTATACACTGAAATAATACTGTAAATAATACATAATATTTTTTTTTATTTACTCTTTTTTGTTTTGTATGTAATCTTATAGAAAAAGAAAAATATGTTATCTAAATAGCAAATATAGATGCAAAAATTTAGCTTTTTTTTTCATTTCAGCTTACATATGGATTTTGATTTTTATTATAATCTTTTGAACAAAATGCACAAACCTAATTTTAAAATTTATCCCCTGTTATTCAGAAATATATTGTACTTGATTTGAACACTAGCTTTGGAATTCTTAAAGTGCTTCATATCAGATATTAAGTAATTATATTTCATTCATTTACAATAAACATCTCACTGTAGTAATATTGTCAATCGTTATTAATTTATAAAAAAATTCTTCTTTTTTTTGTGTAAATTAAAGTACTGTATTTATTTGTATTGCAGATTTTCTTTTCTTTTTGTAGGTGAGCATGTTCTTTCTTTAACTTATGATAAAGCTGATGAAGAGAAAAAAATTGCTGAACTAACCCTCTTAAAATCTAAAGATGTTAAATCATCCCTTCCGTATTTATGCACAAAATATGACCTTTATGTTTCAAGAGAGCCATGCATTATGTAAGGAACTTTTTTTTTCTGCTTCAAATTGCAAAACCTAAGATGTACTTCTTTCTTAATATTCTTGAGAAATATTTCTTTTTAATACACTTTTTTCAAATTTATGTAGAAAATTCTGTAGTGTCATTATTTACTAAAAACCAGTTTTTCATTAAGTATATAGTATTCAATATATATATATTAATATTTCCATAGCTGAGTTTCAAACAATCAATCTTATTTATTTAGGACTGTTTTTTGGAGACCTTCTCATCTTGTAAAATAATGTTTTTTGTTTTTTTTTTTCATAGTACGTTAAAGTTATTACTGCTGTAAGTTTGCAACAGTTATTCATGATAGTTAAATCCTGTTCAGTGTATTTCAAACTTTCCAGCTCTCAGGCCACCTAAGTATTTTCTAAATAATTTTTTTTTGATTCTGCGAATAAGTGCACAGTTAAATACTTTCTTTTCTTTCTTGTATATATATATTAGGAATTTTATAGTTCAAATGTATTTTGTTAATCATAATTTTTTTAGAACCTTTTTTTAATATTTTGAATTGCTTGAACAACCAAAAAAACTTATAACTGCTTTGAACTTAGCATATGCAAAGCACTGCATTAACAATACATGTTTCAATTGTTTCTTATTGTTTTTCTGTGTTTGTAAAAGTGTTTTTAAAATAAATTACAAAGCTCAGTTCTTGATATTCTGGAAACTCAGTTTTGCTCTTTACATTCTTTTGCTAGAATTGATATTAAAAAAATTTTGAAGTTAGTGCAGGAAAAGTAATAATAGTGTGTTGACTAAATTTAAGCTGGCCGTATTAATCATTCCTCAAAGAGATTTAACTCTTAGGCACTTAAATTGTGACTTTTTTTAATATTTTCCTTGATGAAAAAAATTTCAAAAAACACTTTGAATATTGATTGTAAAAAGAAACATTCATCCATTTTATATTTCAATAGGTGTGCAATGGCATTAGTTCATTCAAGAATTCATAGAGTGTTTTATGCTACTGAAACTTCCTGTGGAGCATTGGGTAGTCACTGGAAATTACATTTACAAAATGGACTCAATCATCATTATGAAGTTTTTAAAGTTATCCTACCTCAAAATACTCTGAATGCAACATAAAAAAAATTCTGTGATTTTTAATGTTTTTAGAATGTATATTTTTTAATAAATATTTATAAATGTTTTTATGCTGTGTCTGAAAATGTGCATATTATTTTTTTCATTGCCAAATGGGAGGCCGGGATATTCTGGTGGGCAGAGTGCTTAGAAAGGGAGTTCGAATCCAGCCAGCCGAAGACTCCCCACGTAGTAAATGGTGACTGGTGTGTGTTAAATATGTCAGATCACAAAGTCCTCCATGTTCCCATAACAAATCAATACCTCAGTGGTTACTGAATTGGAGTTTGGTTGTTCTCTGGTTCATATAAAAATTACGATCTGTAGATGTATGAATGGGTCCGCCCTATAAATGGGTGTGGCAGAAGCCATAAAATTCTTGGCCACAGATGGCTCCACTGGAAAGCAAGAACAATCGTACCCCCTCTGCCTTAATGGTTGACGATAACAACATTGCCAAATGGGGAGAAGAAAATTTATATTTCTTTTGTAGGGTTGACTAGTTTAAATTTTGTCCTTACTACATTTCTAAAATTAATTGCATTGTAATATATGTTTATTATAATTCCTTTAAGTAAATAACTCTCAATAATGCATAAGAATATTAAGTGCAGCTCAGTGCCTTAGAAACTTATTCACTAGGAAAGAAAGTTTTAAAATTGTTAATTACAGATATTTATAATTATTTTTTAGCATCTCAATAGTGGAACCAAATAAGATATTTTTACTATTTATATCTAGGCATTTTGATCATATAACAAAAACAGAAAAAAAAAATTTGAACTTAAGACCGACTGCGCTTTTGAACAACATTGCATAGATATCAGAGAAGTCAGGATGCTTCTGCGAAAGACTCACAGATCTGTGAAATCGTTCACCATGTCTTCTTCTCAAGCCATAACTCATTGATTTCCCGAATGGCCCTCTTCCATGTTGGTGAAGAGATGGTGCCGTGTTCTTGGTTGTCTGTACATGTCAAGAATCACTGTACAGACTGAATCAGTACTTGTTAATAATTGCCCCGCTAAGCCTGTGTCCAGGATTGATGTTGCCTGCACCAGTTCTGGCGAGCTTATCTATACCGCATCCTGACTTCTCTGAGATATAAATAGAATGGAGCTAAGGATTATAATTTTTCAGATGCGCTGGCGGTCCCTAGTTCATCTTTCTGGATGACTATTCGCAACAATAAAAAACTGGATACCTTGAAACCTAAGATATTCAGAGAATGGCAAGGGCAGTTAGATATCCAAACCATAACCCGATCCAGCATGTGTGGAATGTTTTTGACAGAGCTATTGCAGTTCTCAGTCCTCTCCCAGAAATCTTGCGGGAGGAGAAAACAGCCTTAAATCTATTGCTCCGCAGCATTTGTCAACCTCGTAAACAGCATGAGAGTTCGCTCTAACGGATAAAAGTGTAATCATACTATATAAAAATAATTGCGCAATGTTTTGGGACTGTAAAATTTTAAACACCCTGCATTTTTTTAAATTTTATTTTGTTTTTCTCTCGTGAAGGCTCTGTTACTTACAATGTTTAATCTAAATGGCGTAAACAGCGCCCCTGCTGCGTAGGGGAGGGCGGACTCACGATGTTTGAGCCGGCATACCCCCCAAAAATGACACTAATAAAAATGTTTTTTATAAGTTTTCTTTTAAATTCGCTTAATAAATAATAATAATCCTTAACTAAACTTTGAATATTATTGTAAGATAGTGAGTTACGTTCTATGATTATTGTATACAATGTTTAAATTCAGTACCTTTTCAAAATTTCCCCTTTTCATCGCTATTATAATTTTCATTATCTTAAATTTAAATAAAATTAATAAGTCTCGTATGTCTCTTCGCCATAGTGTTCATGTTTCATATTATAACTCTAATTTTTTTTATTTCAAGTTTAAGATAGGAGCGCACCTAAGATTATGTACGCCAATGTTTTAACTCATTACTAACTTATTCGCTCCAAATTAATTGTTAAGTTTGAAATAAACTCCACATTATAGATTTAACTTTGGTTTATTAACATTCAGGATTACCAATAAATCACAACAAAGAGCGTTACGAGAAATGGGTGATACTAATTTACGTGTCTTAAACAATTAAAACCACTTGTTAATATATAATAAGTAAGAAAAAAAAATTTAATCTGTGCATACAAAATATCCTGAAATTTAAATTAATACAGTGTTTGAAAAACCTTAAAGCTGAACAAAATTGTTTGAATAAAAATATCGAAGTTTTAAAAATATTTTACCATAGAACATTTGAATATACTCTAACGAATAGTGCTCTGCGGAACTCTAGGTTCTGTGGAAAGATCACCAAGGTTCCGAGAGTTTAATTTTTTTAAATCAGTAATAATTTTTGAAACCTGTAATTCTATGTATATCTAAACATCAAACTATAATTTATTTGACATTTTGGTTCTTTTTGTAAAATTATTTTTAACTATTTTGTAAAATGCCAGTAAAAAAAAAAACAAATAGCATAATTTATAAGAAAAATTTTATTAGTATTTCTCGTCGAACTTTTCCATTCAAAGTAAAATGACCAAATTCAAGAGTAATGTTTCTTTGATAACCATTCTCAGCGTTTATGAAAGTTCTTTTTCGAAAACTATAATTTTATTCATTTTGACCCCCAAAAACAAATTTAGAACTAGACTAGGTACAACCTACTCCAGGTCTGCGAATTCAACTGTTTGACGTAACTCCTATTATTTTCCAGAGTCTTATGAATAAAACGATTATTGAAAAAAAAATATTAATAATATTAATATTTTTTAAAGAATATTAATATTTCTTAAATATTATCGAAATAATTGGTAGTCTTTCTTCGGTTAGTATGTTTACAGCTGTTATTAAATTTTATTTATATATTTGGTGCTCCATCAAAGGATGCTTGATCAGTTAAAGTTCTGTATCCATAATAATTCGCGAACCGCTGCTCTATGGTATAAGTTTCAGTATCAAGCATATACGCTAATGCAGATCAAAAGCAAAAATAGAAGGGGGGGGAGGCTTGTCTGCCACCTCTTTAATAATGTATTCAAAGCTTATAGCATTTCAAATTTTCTAGTTTTATTTTATTTTAGTCTATCTAGTTTTATTTTATTTAAACTATAACCGTCGTTGACCAGCCGACCAAATTTTGAGTTTACTACTACCAATGATCAACTCCGTAGCCTTGTAATTCTGTACTCAATTCAGAAGACAAGGGAATTCCAGACTTAAAAGGAGACTCTAACACATGAGCCTTCCACCACTGAGGATATTTTACGTCAGCAGTGTGGTCGTTGGAAGCCGAGTGCGGAATTCGTATCGACCGACCATCGCTAGGATTTGAACCCGGTTCACCTCATTGAAAGACGAACGCTCTAACTCAGGCTTTTCCAACTTACATGAGGCCGGGCCGCAATTAAAAACACTAGTCAAATAGCGGGCCGCAACTTTATCAAAACCTGATATTAATTACCTGATATTCATTTATCAAAACATCATATTCATTACCTCTTTTATGCGTTTTAAAACTTACAAATGTAAATAATTTCGTCCAAAATTAGTGGTTTCAAAAAGTTAAATCGGAGAATTTCTTCGAGAAAATTTCTGATACGCACATGCTAAATTATATTCACAAAATACAAGAAAAAAACGAAATAAAAAAGAGCAACACACACAATTATTTTTGTATTAGAATAAATATTTTCTTGGGTGTAAAACCTGAAAAATAAATTTTTTTGCACCGTTGGTACAATAAATTTCACAGAAACGAAGAAATTAGGGGGTTTTTTTTAACGAAAGAAACGTATTTCCAACCCATGTAGATTTTTTACTAAAATTGTCCAAAAAAAATGACAACTAATATATTTTAGTTTGCGGTCCACTGAAAAACGCTTCAAGGGCCGAATGCGGCCCGCTGCCCGCCAGTTGGTAACCACTGCTCTATCCCCAGAGCCAGCACGGCTCTTTAGTTTTATATGAATTATCCTTGAGCTGATTATAAACACACTGATGGAAATGGTGGCAGAACAGTTTTTGATTTAATTATAATGAAAATGGGTCACGCATAGAAATTATTTTAAAAGCCGAATACAGCAAAAAGAAAGAAAATTGTAAAAAAAATTCCAATTCCACCCTCAAAAAAAAATATGCTTCTTTGTAATCGTAATACAAAGTGATTAATACCCTTTAAATTTTTAGTCTTTCCTTGTTAATTAGATTTATGGTTTTATAAACGTTCCATTTGCATTAAATAATGATAATTTGTCATGTCAAATTTAGACGCTCCTTTGTGTTGAAATACATGATGAATTGTGATCCAAATTTACTATAAAATAAAACCAAGCTCTTGATTGTTCAATTTCTCATTAAATTAAACAAATGGTTTTATTTTGATATAACTGAATAATATAGTATTTAAGTTTGTACTTAATCCATTTTAATCATTTAGTTTTCTATGATTCATAGATATTCACATTTTAAACTAATTTAAAGGTTTTTCAAAATCAATGTGGTAAAAAGACATAAATTTATTAAAAGTAAAGAGTGAAATTAAAATTTCAAAGAAGAAAAAAAAAACAGTTCTGTTTTTGGATTTTAAAAATAGACGGCAACATCTAAAAAAAAAGAATTCAAACTATATTTAATCACTTTCTTAAACTCTTATAAAACTTTAACCTAGTTCCCTATTACCTTCGTAACCTTCACTTTTACTTACTTAATCCAGTTGAAGAAATTTCTTTTCAATGCATCTCATTACAAAATTTATCTCACTTATTTTAAAAAAGACTTCTGATATCGACATTTGCTCTCGATTTAAGAATTCATTTACTTGCAAATCACTTTTTCCCACTCTTCACAAAGTTGTCCATCCTTTTTTGATTAAGGTTATTGCGTGGAACAGGTCAGCAAGAAGGCGTGGCCAACCCCTAGGCTAAAGATTTGATCGGGTATATAGGGGTGAAGTGTTCTAATTAAATATTCAGAAGCTGAGTTTTCTTCATCAGTTATTGCTCCTCTCTAAATAATGAAAGTTTTGGTAAGTTTAAAATTTTCATAGTGCATTTATTGGTTTTAAACAAGTTATATACTCTAAAAGCTTGGTTTAAGTTAATTATTATTATTGTTCGAACCCGGTTCAACATAATCAGATAATAAATGTTCGGTATAATTATAAGTGTTCATTTTTATCTTAATAAAATGCAAACGCTTTTAGTTACATGATGTACATTGATTATCTTATTAAAATTATAAATAATTCTATTTAATTTTTTTTTTTTTTAAATTTTATCTAATTTAACTATAAATGCTTCTAATGCATGTAAATTTTCATTCTTATCTTATTAAAACTATAATTGTTTCTAAATACTAAGGGTGTTTACTTTATTTTATTCAAACTTTTTATCTTATTATCTGTGTTCACTTTTTATCTTATTTATCTTAAACTGAAATATTTCTAATCACATTAATAAAATAAATGTGTATTTCTTTTCTTATCGTATTAAAATTATAAATAGTTTTATAATTATTATAAATCAGGGTTCGCAAAAATGGAGGTAGCCCAGAAAAACCCAGTCGGGTTTTTTCAGATTAGGCCCACTTAAAAAAAACCATCTTAATATTCACCAAGTTCGGGTTTCTTTTTTCTTTTCTTTTTTTCAGTTATCACACTAAATTGTTCTTTGAAATTATCAAGTTAATGTCTTTTTATGCAACATTATATGAAGTAAAACTTCACTAATCTGACTTTAAATTAATCATTAATATGATTAATAGTTAATTTATATTAATAATAATATGATTTAATATAAATTAACTAAATACGTAAGAAAAAGTACAAGATTGAAAATTTTGCTAAATACATTACTTATCTATAAAAAAAAAATGTGTGCAATATGCATACACATTCTACTTATTACTCATAATTTATCTGGATGGTAAATTCCTGAGATGCAGAATATGGCGGATTGCGCAAACAAGGTTCAGAAAAAATTCAGACTGCCCTAAGGAAATTTTTGGTCTAGTTAATTAAATAAAATGCTAAAAAAAAATTTATTGCGAAAAAAATTTTTTCACTTTTCAAATTATAATTGTAAAATATTACTATTTCAATATACTTTTATTGCTATCATTTTAACACATAAGCTCCTTAATTTAAGAATTTTTTTAAATCAAATAAATTGTTTTTCTTAAGAGAAAGTTTAACAAAATACAGACTTTACTTGCTAAAAATATTTTGTAAAAGTTATTGCAGCAAAAAAAAAAAAAGCTGTGCAAAGCCTTATGAATTATTAGGCTGTTACAATTTTCTGCACCTTTGGGAAGCCCTTCAGGGTTTGTTGAAATACATTAATAGACATATACTGTATATATCCAATATTTCAAAACGGATATGATATTTTTAGACAAAGAAAATAAATTTTTCATTTAAAAGAAATTGTCTGTAAGGAGTATTTTAAAAGAATAATGCTTTATATTTATAAAATAATAATATATATATTTATAAGACAATATATATATTTACTATAAATATGATTATTAATATATATATATATTTATTTTAAGAAATTCTATTATAGTCTGAACATGCTTCCATCTACTGCACTGTTAAAATTTTCATTCTTAAACTACGGTAAAATACCAGTCTGTCCATCCAAATAACAGTAAAGTTTACGGTTATGAACATTTTTTTTACCTTTACGGTTTTGGAACCATTAACAACTGGTATAGTCAAAAAACCATGAATACAAAACTATTTGATTATATAACTATTCACAACTAGTATAGTTTTATAACCATAAAAATCAATTTTAGCAGAAGAGTTAGTTTATGCTTGTATTTATTTCAAATTTTAGCAACTCATAATTCTAATAGACAATTCTTATGGAAAAACACACATAAAAATATAAAAAAACTATTTAACCATTTCGGCGCTCCAGATATTTGGTGCCTTAAACCCGAACTTCTCAGGCCTTATGATAAATCAAGTCCTACGTTTGATGAAAAAACCCGAAGAAAAAAAAAATTTTCTTTCTGGGCAAAGTTGGGTTTTTTCATGAAAAAAACTCCACAGAGGCTAGATTTTTTTCTTAAGAACCCGGGTTTTTTCGAACTCTGTTATGAATGTTTAACTTTATCGTATTTAAACTCGAAATGTTTTGATAAATGTTAGGAAGAGTAACTGATTTTAATGCTGGAAACATATTTCACATAATTAATAAGCAAACTCATATAATTAATTAAGAATGAAAAAAAATTAATTTCATATAAATAATAAAAAATGCTATGCAGTATTTTGAATGAATCCTATGCTTGAAAACTCTTACAAAATATTACAGAAAGTTATTAACGGTTAAAAAGATATAAAGGAAAAAAAATTACAAGATATATTGTGAAAACTGGTTTGCATTAATGAAATTATAAGCAATTTCATTTTTTTTTTCTTGAAATATACATATAGATACATTTTGATCCAAAAATTATTTAAAACTTAGGTTTAACTAAGGTTTAAATTTATATGTATTAATTATGTCATTTCTCCCTTATTCAATAACTCAAAGAGATATTATCAAAATATAATAACCTCGAATACCATATCGTTAAAATATAACTTATACATTTCTGATATAATTTTGGAACATGTTTTACTTAGTATTTGACTGTACTAAAATGTATGCAATGGATTGTAAGTCGACTTAATTACATTCATAAGCGATATCATTTATTATACACTTTTTTTTTAATATAATATTCAGGAAATTTTTGTTTCCTATATATTCTAAAAAAACTGTGATTTTCAATAATATAAAGGCCTGGTTATAAGAAAGTATCTTAACCAAAATATTAAAAGATTCGAAATGGGGAAAATTATTTTATTCATTTGTATATTATTATTATTATTATCGCAGGGAAGGTTTAAAATTTTTAGACTTGCAAAGTGAGCAGCGAATTAAATAAAAGGTTTTAGAGAATGCGGATTGTTTGCTAACATCTATGACTTAAGTTGTGAAAAGATTAATAAATTTTTTCAAGAAATAAATTATCTTTTGACAGTCAAAATATTTTGAAGAAAAACGTTAACCAATTACAAGTCGCTATTGATTAAGAAACTCAATAGTGAAGTGTTAGAAAGCGACATTTTGTTGCTTTCAACATTTTGTTGCTAAATCGGAATGCTTCGTTCTAATTTTTCCGAGAGCATCCGGGAGCTGTTCCTAAGAAAAGGAGATTCTTCAAATCGCAAAGCTATTCCCAAATAGTCGGTGATTCTTCACATCAGGGAACTATTTGCAAAAAACTTCTGGTAAAAATTGACTTATTTTGAGATTTGGAAAAGTATATTAATGTTATATTTCTTATAGTGGACCATAACTTGTTCTAAAACTCCAAAATTTGAGAGATTTCAAATTATCTTTTAACATGTATCCTTGTACTACTTAGTTATTCGATTGTACTTGCAATCCGTATTTAAATTGTTTTTTCTTGAATTAATAACTTACTTAAAATATTTAATTTAATTTTTTTCTTATTTACGCAAAAGTCATTTATAATTGAAATAAAATTATTAAAGAAGGAATAAAATTAAATTTTATTTATTTGTAATTAAATGGGACTTAATTGCCTCAGTATTTTGCGATAAGTTTATACATTTTATTTATTTTTTCTACTTTTTAAAAAAAACTATTATTTACATAAATGTTTCTATTCATAAATAAAGGTGATATTTAATTTAATTTTCGACAATTCGATTCAACATTTCCGCACTTCTACATCTTTTTCTCGTGCATCTTTTGTCTTTTTTTAGGTATACGATACTGACAAGCCTATTTTTTGCCCCTGAGCAATAAACATTTTCTGTAGTGAGTTACGTTTGCATCAAAATCATGTCTTGCATTAAAAACTTTTATCAAATTTTGTGTGTTCTACATGATTTCGACGCAATTTAGAGATGAAAATACTTAAGAGGACGCTCTATCACATAACTTTTCATCGCAAATACTGTCTCACCTGAACTAATTTATTACTAATTTAAAATAAATGATCATAAAATAAATTAATCATATATTAATAAACTTATAATAACTAATTTATAAATTTAAAAAAGTGAGTTCAGACAAACATAGACTAATGCATGAAGTTTCAAATACTGTAAAGAAATTTTCAAAATATCGAAATAAAAATAAATTATAAGAAGATAATTTAGTATTACGCCACGGTTAAGTTCTCTTCCATTAATTTGTTTGCATTTTGATATTTTAAATTGAGTTTTTTTTTCCCTTCAAGCTTTATGGCTTACTCTAAATTTGTCTGAGCTCACTCACTTTTTACATACTTTAAATTTTAATTTAGTAATGGAGGTGAAATGGAATTTGCCAAAAAAAACAAAAAAAAACAAGAAAAAGATCCATAAGTTGACATAGTTTTTGTCAACAACCAAATTTTGTAATAATTTGCATTTTTTTAAAATTGCAAGTTATTAAAATAGTTCTTAGAGTTAATTTATTTTTAAAATGACTTACTAGCATATTTTTTGTCTTGAATTTTATTTTTCATTTAATTTCAATTTTTAAAAAAAAATTATGTTATGTTTCATTAATATTTTTCATACGTATATCAACCAGTAAGTAAATTATTCTTATTTTTCTGAACGTGAAAAATATCTTTAATACTGATGAAAATTGATTACGTTGTAATATAGAGTAACACACTTATGCTCTTATTGGTGATACCTCACTTTTTTCTCTTTTGCTATCAACTAAAACATGTGTTTCATTTAAGGTGTTACTGTCTATGGCTACATTAGCCTGTGCTTCTATCTATGAAGCACCCCACCACAAATCAGTGGTTTTAACGGAATCCGACTTAGAACTGCATCCAGTCTCTGTATCTCACTATCCTGTAAAATATCATCCAGTATTATCCGTACAGAGCGTCCATCATCCTGCCGTGTTGGATCACTATCCAGTTCAGAAATACACTGTACACCGCCCCCATGGTTTATACCATGGTCCTCATGGAGTTGGCCCCTATGACCCTAAGCTTCATGATGAACTAGAACAAGCTTACTACAGAGGTTAAAAAGGTAAGAGCATAAAATTTAAAACTTCTTTTATTTTATTAAGCTCCATATCTTTACTATGATGATGGTCTTAGATATTACTCTAAACTCTGGAGAATGTCTTTACGTCGATTAAAATACTACGTAAGCAGCTTAAATAGATTTCTATTTGCTTAGTTTTTGCTTTCGATTTGCTTTAATCAGATATTTGACCTAAGTTTACGGCATACATAAGCCACTTAACTCCCCTGCTGAGAAATTTTAAAAATAATTAAATTTAAAAAAAAATTTATGTATGGATTTAATAGCAAGGGGCAGAAAGGCCCAAATCATCAATTCTCGTGTATAATATTTGAATAGTAGTAGCACTTTATTTACGTAGCTCTACAAATGAACAACGCGCTTTTGGCGACGGTCTGAGAAGCACCCCTGAGGATGATCTGAAGACATGACATCACAACTTTGATCATCAGCATAGTGGATGGCTCCCCCGCTTTGAAAATCAGACGACTTGCGTGCGAAGTCGAGGTGCAACATTACGGTAGAACAGTTTTACAAAGACCGATACCGCGCATCTTCGGCACCTACTTAGACTGATCAAAGTGGTCACCCACAAGCTCAATGACCTCAGTCAGTGATGCTTGACTTCGGTGTTCTGCTGAGAACCGTGTCTTTACAATCTGTCCACTGTGAGACTATAACGTACCTTTTAGTTAATACGTAACAAACGAGAAACTTGTATTTATAGTATTAAACTATAATTTAAACCACGTGTAGTCAATTTTTACATACCGCGTCAATTTCTTGACTAATTACAGTTTACTGGAGTTGGCAAAAAATCTGGAGATCATGAAGAATTTCATCTGAACGTACAGACCAAAATGTGCAAAATTGTTATCTTTTTAACATTTAAAATCATATTTTCTAATAAAATATTACACTTCGAGATGATTTTTGGTTTGCAAATTATTTTAGATGTGAGTAATTAATATCAATTGAACCTCGTATATGAAACTAGTAAATTAGAATGGAATAAAATTGCATTTAGAGTATTATAGATTTATGTATACTATTGTATTTACTTAGTACTTATTACTAATAATTACTTTTTTACTCTTTACAGGAACTTCAACTAGCCAAGAAAGTTTCTTTGTCATTGTTTAAATTGTGTATATGTATATTCTTCCATTTCCATTTCTTGTAAGCATTGAACAAAACCCTTTGAAATTATAGTACATGTATTAATTTTATTTTTAAAAGATTACCACCTTATTTATTTTAATTCAATATAGTAATATTTATATTTATTTGGTGCTTTGTTATAGCACAATGTAATTAACACTGCTTTAAAGATGTAAATTATTTGTAAATTTCTTTCTATAAACATAGGGAAAATATTTATTTTAAATTGCTATAATTGTGATACAATTCATTATTTTTCAAACAATTATAAATAAATTTGAAGTTTTCATAAGTGTTTTTGTTTTATTTTTTCTTAATGTAAAGAACACAAATAAATAGACTTGGAACATAAACGGTTTCAGAACCTCGAGATCAGTGATTGTATTGAACATTTTACAACATGTATCAAAATTGTACTGTCTATGTCCTCTATCTGAACATCTACCGCCCAGAAATATCTATCTAGAATATATTGTCTATCTCCTCTATCTGAACATCGATTGCCCAGAACATATATCAAAAATGTATTGTCTATCTCCTCTATCTGAACATCGATTGCCCAGAACATGTATCAAAATTGTATTGTCTATGTCCTCTATCTGAACATCGACCGCCCAGAACATCTATCTAGGTTATATTATCTATCTCCTCTATCTGAACATCGATTGCCCAGAACATATATCTAAATCCTCTGGTAACATATCTCTGTATTATAATCGAAATCAAGTTTAACATAGCATTAGTTACTTTTTAAAAAATATATTTTTTATTATTTATTTTTACAATTCTCTTTCCTCTTTTATAAAGGAAATCTATAAATTCCAGAGAAAATTCTTGAAAGCGCATTTGTTGATTCCGAAGATTATAAATATCCCAAATTTTTCATTGCCATAAAACGTCTGCCAGATAATATCCTGTATAATTCCGTGACCTTCGAGAATACTTTTTAAAGTCACAATCATTCCACCAGCCTCATGTTGCAGCACTCAAGAGACATTTGTTCTAATTTTCATACGTATTTAATAATTTATAGTTTATTTAAAATAAAGTTGATATTTATTGCGAGTATTTCCTACGAAAAGAAAAAAAAAAAAACTTAATTTAAATAATATGCTACTATGCAGTAGCGTATATAGACTTAGGTGCGCCCTCTGCAAAATTTATAAATGCACCTTATCTTAGAATTATCATAAAAAATTTGAAATTATAATATATAAAAAAAACACTGTATTTTCAGAAATTTGTAATCATTAATTTTTTTTAAGTAAATAAAATAAAAATAGTAATTTGACCTTTTACACTTCATACATTTAAAATTTCATGTATTTTGCTCAATTTGCGTTCAGTTTTTTTTTTTTTTTTTTTTTTTTTTTTTTTTTTTTNTTTTTTTTTTTTAAGGGATTGAATTCTGTTATAACTATTTTGTAAATCAGACATTATTTTTACTTCTTTCAATGTAAATATTAAATTGAATTGAATGATTGTCGGAAAATTTTAAAGCTCAATGTTTTTTGTTTTTTTTTTTAATACATATATATTCTAAAACTTTGTTTGAATTAGGTTATTTATTTAAAAAAAAATTAAATTTGTCAAAATATTCTTAATCAGATTAATTGTATAATGTAATATGCTTACTTCTTGTTTGAAAAATTTTGACTGAAAATTTCTCTTTATACCATGAATTGCGTTTTATTTCATCACTAATGGAATATGCTTTAAAAAAAAACTAACATTTGAGATTCAAAGGGAAAATAATAATTAAATTATTTTGTATTTTAATTTCGGAGTTATATAGAGCGTATAGTTATCTTCCTATATAAAAATCTGTGACCCCCCCCCCCAAATTTCAGAGTGTGTGGAATTTCCTTTGAATACATGCCCCTTATAAGAATAGTGAGCCGTGATGGATTAGGGGATAGAGCGCTCGCCTCCCAATGAGGTGAATCAGGTTCCAATCCTTGTGCTGACATAAAATGTCCTCAATGGTAAACCGATCATGGGTTAGAGTCCCCTTGCAGTCAGGCTAACAGTGGGAGGTTTTCGCAGTTTTCCTCTTCTTGTAACGCAAAAGTGGGTTAGTTCCATAAAAAAGTCTTCCACGAAGTTAAATTTCTCCCAATACTTGATCCAGGAGTTCCCTTGTCCTCCGGATCGTTTTCAAAATTGCAAGGCTACGGAGTTGAACATTTGTAATCGTAAACACTAAATTGGGTCGGCTGTTCAAGGACTTAAATGAAATATAGAATAGAATGCCTAGAAGATGAAAGAAAGCCAATCTGATTTTTTTTTAAAAAAATACTGTAATCCATATTTTGAACTCATTTTTATGCGTAAATATATGAGGTAATTCTTCTTTAGAACTGTATTTATTTACAACGAAATATTTTCTTAAATGTTGGGAATATTTTCATTTTAATGATTTTTAAAGCTTTATTATTAAAATTGTTTGAAAACTTGAACCAAATATTTAATTTCGTAATGCAAATATTAGTTATAAATTTAAAATTTCAGTGTCCTTAGTGATCAAATATATGCCTGGAGCTGTTGAACCCCTCTCTGCATATTAATGTTCCGTCGACCACTCAGCTTGATTTTCAACTCCAAGCCCGGCTGATAGATGGCAGCAGCAGAATTGCATTTTCAAAGTGCAAAAATTAAAACAGGGAGAAAATATTGTTAAGAAATTCACAAAGCAAAACAATACACAGTTTTTTTTTTTTTTTTTCCAATTATTATTTTGGGAAAGAATAATATTTCAAAATTAGTAATCGCGCATCAGAAGTTAAAACTTCAAAAATTTTTCAAATTTAGATTTTAAAAACGATATTTGTTTTATTTTCATTTAACCACAATAAATCATAAATGCCAATTTAAAAAAGAATTCAAATCATGTTTCACCTTTAAAAAAAAAAAAAATAAAAAAAAACATATAATATTTAGTTATATATAAAAAAAAAAATTACATGAGATATTGCCAAACTATTTTAAAAAATTCTTGCTTTCTATTTGTTTAATTTAATTGAACACACACTTTTTAAAAATAATATGAAATGCAATACTATTCACTTATTGTGTTTAGACAAGAAAACAGTAATAAAAGTCCTTAAAATATGTGTCGTTCAAAAAAATCAACTTCAACACACTTTTTAAATAGGTATTTAACAGACAATAAATGTTGAAGGTCATAATACGCATATTCCTTAGTTTTTAAGTACCCCTTTAATTGCAGCGACACCTCACATGATCATATCTTCCTACCATTTCGAAAGGCATACGCATACTCTGTACTCACCCGCAAAGATCTCACCGAATTTTCTAGAAGCACAAATCACACTTCAGTTATTACCAATTGCTCTAATCGCAATTTATACTACTTAATTCAATAATAAATTACATCGTTTTGCGTTCTTGCACTCTGCTTTTTTTTTTATATTCTATGTTTTGATGACTCGCGTAAGGGTTGGTATCTTCTTTCAATCAGAAAATAATAAGAATCTTAAAATGTGTATATAACGCTAAAACGATAGGGGAAAAAAATACTTTCCTGGAAAAATTTCCTTAAAAAATGTAAATAAATAAATAATAGTGATAAAATTTAAAAAAAATTTATTTGCAATGCAAAGCTGACAAAACAAAATTATTATGTGATGTGTATCTCACTTTAAATATTATATGAATTTAACGACTGATTCGATTCTGCTCGTTGAGCCCTTACTTAATGTAACTAAGTATTATCGAAATGTTATCGGAAATTTTTTCTTTAAATATTCAAAGAAAAAAATATACATTGAAGTTTTCGGAAAGGGACTTTATGTAAATACTTAATCCCTTCAGTACTAAGATCAAGTATACGATACGTGATCGTGCTATTCTCTCTTCACTAATTACGGTATTACATGAAAAGAGCATTTCTGATTCCAACGGCCCAAGTTCACACTGACGTGATCTCAATTCTGTACTCTTGTATTACATTTAGTATTAGTACGTGAACGCACCTTTTATAGTACGTACTGATTCTGAGGCTGAAGAAAAGCTTGCTCTTTTAACTCCTTATGGTACTCCCATACATCATGTATCAATTAACAGTTGCTTATCAGTGGCTTAATGTTGTACTAAGTAAAAATTAATAAAATAATAATAATAATAATTAATAAAAATGATGATGTGTTTTATTTTAAAACAATTGTTTTTTGTTTTTTTTTAAAAAAATACCGCTGATTGAAAAGGCACATAAAAATATTATATCATTATACGATAGGTATAAATAATTACTGCAATTTAGAAATTTCTTAGTAGTTCTTTAATTTCTTTAGATTCGTAATCAGTTAGTTGTTCATATAAAGTGAGAAGTTTCCTTTCCGAACATTTTAAATTAACCCTGTTCTATTAATTTATTTTTAGAGTAATATTTAATGATATTCTAATAAATATTCGATCACTTTAAATTCAATCCCAGTTTTTCATTGTGATCTTTTATCCGNTACTTTAATAATAATCGATGATTTAATATATATATATATATATATATATTAAAAATCAGTTGTATTTTACACGTTCAATCCGGACACTGAAAGAGAAAGGTCGTGAACTCTGGCGTCCGGCACCTAAGATTAAATTTCATGTTAATAACGGGAGGAAAGCTATAATTTTCACTAATAAGACAGTTGATGAGCTCTCAGAGGAACTCTCAAGAACTTTTTATGCTCTTCGGTATTTTCCCTTAGTTCCTGTTGATTTTTTTTTCAACCCTTCGTTTTCAGATCTGGAAGACGTTTCAAAATTACGAGTGCATATAATTTAGTCCCATAATGTAAGATTGCGCGTGTAAGCGGATGTTTGTCTTAAAATTACGTTAATAATTTTTTTTTTTTTTAGTTCGTAGATGAAGAAAATATTCACTTAGAAAAGAAAAACTCATATGTATATTTTATATTAAAACAATTTGCTACTGACATTCTGAAATAATATTTTTAATTTATTTAATAGCGCAATATTTATAAGCATTTTGGTGACGATATTTTTAACAATTGTAACGATATTTGTAAAATTTTTAATGATATTTGTAAAAATTTTTAACGATAACTTTTTGGTGACGATTTGGTAACAATAAGTTAAAAAAAAAAAAAAAAAAAANAAAAAAAAAAAAAAAAAAAGATTAATTTTTTTTGCTGTGAATTTTACTAAAAACCTTTTAAAATTAACAATTTAATAGTTATATTTTTGAATAGTTCACC